GAAGTTTGAATGAGATTGCACTAAACATACTTCAGGGAGAATTTATACCTTTCAATGTTGCATTTTTCTATTTAGAAATATAGTACTCATCTCCATTTATGGCATCCTCATGTCCTTTAAAATTTTAATGTCTTAATTGTATAGGTCTTACACATTGTATTAGGTTTATTACTAGGCATTTTGGTTCTTGTTGATCTAAATAAGATCTTCATTCATCATATTTTTCTGGCTAGTTACTGCTGTTGTACAGTGACGTTAAGATGACGCTGTATTTAGCAATTTAAAAAAACTTGCTAAATTTAACTTTTTTTTGGAGCTACTGGTGTTTGAATCAAGGCTTCACACTGACTAGGCAGGTGCTTTATGGCTTGAGCCACACCTCCAGACATTTTTGCTCTGGTATTTTGGAGATAGGGTCTCGCTTTTTATCCAGGTCAGCCTGTACCACATCCTTCTATTTAAGCTTCCTGTCATCTCTGTGATGACAGGTGCATGCCACCATTCCTAGTTTTTTTCCTGTGAGATTGCGTCTCGTGAACTTTTTGCTCTGACTGGCCTGGAACTGCAATCCTCCTGATTTCAGTCTCCCAAGGATAATTTAAATAATTTTTCACTTGACATTTTTGTCCTTTCTAAGCAGAAAAAAACTACCACTTTTTTCCTATGCAATACATTTCATTTTTTCTTTTTCTATTATCCAAAGAATACCCAGAAGAACATGAAATATTTGAGGTGATAGTGGACATATCTTGCTATTTTGTTTGTTTTTTTAAAGACAGGGTCTTTTTTAAAGACAGGAGCAACTACTTAGGATTTTTACATCTATGTTCATAGTAAGATTAGTTTGTAAGGTTTTTAATGCTGTCTTCAGCTGATTTGAAGAACTGTGAAGGTTTCATGTTTTTCTACACCTATGATAATTCTAACAGAAGAATTATTTGTTGAATAAAGGTTTAATAGAATTCACATGCAATACCTAGGATCCAGTACTGTACTAGGAGTAGACCTCTGAATACTTTTCATCTATTTGGATTTTTTAAATCTGTTAAATTTTAATAAATTGTATTTTTCTAGAAAGTCGCATTCATCTAGATTTGCAAATTTATTGACATGAAGCTGTACATATCCCCTTACAAAATTTAAGACATCTATATTTATAGTTCTGTTACCATTTCTAATATTTGTATGTTTTGCTGAGTTGTCTATTTTATTGATCATTTCAAAGACTATTTTATGTTTTATTGATCAAGTCTACTGCTTATTTTAGTTTTTCATAATAATTTATTTTATTAATTCTGTCCTGCTTTCCTTGGGTTTATTTGGATACTTTTGAGTAGCTTTTTTCAGTTAATTTAGTTTTAAACTTTTTCCTATCATAAACATTTAAAACTAAATATTATTTGCCTTCAAGTACATCTTACTTGATATGTGGCATTATACTCTCATTGCTGTTTATTTATAGTGTTTTACAATACCTTTCTGATTTTTTTCCTCACAAGGATGGTTTTAATCTATTCAAAATAACAGATTAAATTGTACATTGGGTATATTTTCCTATCCTTTAGGTATTAATTTTAAGTCTATTACAATATGAGGTCTTTATTGTGGCTCCACAGATATGATTCTACCCTTGGCACATTATCTAAGGAAGTTCTCTGACTGTAGTTGGCACCAACGTGAACTACTAAGCTAATGCCTAATGGAGTTTAAAATCTCAATGATAATATATGATGCCGGTCGAAGTCCTGAACTTGTCGTTTTGTGGTTTCAGAGTACTGGCTCTTCTCTTTTATGGATTTCTTTTATGCCTCATGAAAAATGAAAGTTTCACAGACTAACCCTAAACTTTGGAATGATTACTTTTGAGATGCCTCTGAATGTGCTTGATTCTCATTGCTGGGGGGCCAGGCTGCTCACTGGTGATCATTGGAAATGGGCCCTCACTGCCTCTCCAAGAAATGCTCTTTCAACAGCATCTCATCTTTGATGCCAGAAAGTAGTGTGGGGGGTTCAATTTAATACTAATACCAGTGCCCCATCTGAGAAATCTTGACCCAGTAAGTCTGTGATGGAGCACTTATTTTAGAGTTTCATAGGGGATTCTAATGCACAGCAACTTGAGAATCACCTTTTTAATAAGTTAAATTAAAAAATGTTAGCCAAGTACAAATATCCATTCTCTAACACTTACAACTTTCACAATCTCTCCCTCTACATATTCCTTCTACTTGCCTATAAAACATTTCCTGTGTTCTCACTGCAATAATAATACAATAAAATATATGTATAATTTATACATGTGTGAAATACCAAGTTGAATTCCCCTTTGAACAATAAATACACTTAATAAAATGAAGGGCAGAAAGGTAAAACAGATCCTGTTTTACCAATGGGAAAATGGGTGGGTATCAATGGGAGGGGGAAGGTAAATGGAGAGGGTGAAGGAAGGTGAATATGGTCAATGAATTTTGTATACTTGTATAAAAATTGAACAGAGAAATCCATTGAAATTGTTCTAAGAAGGGGGTGAGGAGGAATGAGTAGAATGATGGAGGGGGTGAATCTAATTAAGACACATTATATAAATGTCACAATGAAATCCCCCTGTACAACTAACATACACTAATTTTAAGAAGGAAAGTGAACATGGAACTAGGCAAAACAAACAAAATCCTCTGTGCTTTCACTAATCTCTAAACTTTTCTGGAGTGATTACAATGAATAGCTTTATTTTCTCTCCACCATGCTTCCTATAAACTCTGAAATCCTACTTCTGCCTATTCTATACTACCCATTTTGTCGAGTTCCTTAATATCCAATAGTCATATGTCCATTCAACAAGTATACATTAAGCACCAGTTATGTTCCAGGTATTGAGCAGGTACAAGAACAGCTATGCTCTTAGCACCAAGGATTAGCAGTGAAGGAAGTAAGCAAAAATCTGTTCTGATGGAATCTACATTCTAATGGAGGGAGAATGAAAAATAAATTACATGGTATTAATATTAGGAAACAAGTGTATGGGAAAAGTAAAACTGGGGATGGGTGATCAGGAGTTTTGGGGGGGACTTGAGGAAGCTGAAATGTTAAGGTGATCTAGGTGGACCTTTTATATGTAGAAAAATTCTTAAAGGAGTTGAATACATATCCTAGTAGCCCAAATAAATTGTAAGCACATTTTTATGTCTCCAATTTCCCAAGGTCCTAGGAAATCCTCCTCCTCTCAAAAGATCAACCAAAAATATCTTTTTTTAGGATTAAGCATGTTAGTGAGAAATGTGTTATGTGATGACTTTTTGTATGATTAAGGAAGGTGGAATACAGTTTAAAGTCCATAAACATCATGACAGGCACAGCTGGTTCTTACCTGCTATTTGGGACAGTAATTCATTTTTAAAAATTGAGTTTCGTTAACATTGCTCTTGAGATCACTGACAGACCAATGACATCCCTCAATTTTGGAACTCACAGATTTAAACACAGTCCAATTACTAGTGGCAAATTTTCATTACATTACAATTAATTAAGATGTATATTTTATACATTAGTTTTACTTAAGTGTCTTTGTAAAAGTTGCATCAAGCTATCCTTAACAGCTACTGTGAACTCTACTAATGCAACTACCAAGAATACCTTTTGATAATAATTTTTTTTAATTCCTAAAAGAGTGGTGTTAGCCTTTGCATTTTTTTATTAATGACAGCTTTACTGAGATATGTAATTCATGTAACATAAAATTCACTCTATGAAAGTGCATAATTCAGTGGTTTTCAGTATTTTTACAGAGCTGTAGAACTATCATCCCTATCTAATTTTGGAACATTTTTATCACTCAAAAAGAAACCTTACACCCATTAGCAGTCTCTTCCATTCCACTTGCCCAGGTAACTAGCAACTATACATCTTTCTGTCTCTAAGGGTTTTCCTGTTTTAGAAATCCCATATAAGTGACATTGTGGACAGTTTTAGGTGGATATGTTTTCACTTCCCTCAGGTAAATACTTAGGGGTGGATTAAAGAATCCTTTAAGGATTTCTCAGGTTTGTCAGGCCACAAAACTAAAGAGACATCAGAAGAGAAAAGTGAGTTCCCAAATAATGACAGTCAGAATATTAGGTAATAGTCTAGAGAAATATTTATCTTATCCTTGCTTCATTTTAAATAAGTTTTACTATTATGTGATTATTTGGAGAGAGATTTAAAGTACCAAGAAAACAATATTGTGAATATGTTTTGTGCTTTTTTAAGATATAAAATTTTGGGTTTCCTTACAGTAGAAAATAATGAGGATGCCTTTGGTTTAATGATTTATGATTTTAATAATATACCTCCTGATCTGTGTATGCATACCTATTATTAAAAATTCTAAATTATATTTTAAAAATTCCAAGTCATCTAAGATGAAGAGTATTACTAAGCCTAAACGGGTTTAAGAAGAAAAATATGGAGATATATACGTCATTAAACCGGAGAATAAAGGGTTTCTTCTTGATCCAATGCCAGAATGTTGAACACTGGCAAAAACACTTGCTACTTTCATCAGAACTCAAAAGACCTAATGTCATTTGAGCAAATTACAGTTAAAAATCATTTCTGTATTCTTAATGTAAAGAGAGTACCAGTGAGGGTTAAAATGAGCAGGTAGGCCTTTAATTTGAAAAAAAAAAACAAACCTCAAATTCTTTGAGTTTTTCTACCTTTAAACTCAGGTATATAGTAAATTATAATTGTGGGACATAAAAACACATGCTCTGCCAGGTGAATATTTCTATAGCCTAGCTTGATCTATTTTTGGTATCCATTTGGCAATAATATCCTCAAGTTTCAAAGGATAAAAGTAGTGAAGTAAAAATGTAAAACTCACATCTAGGATACTAAAAAAAATAATAGCCAATATGTGATGGTTGTCATATTTAAGAGCCTGAGAAGTGAAAGAAGTATGCTTTCTCATTCATCATGTAATTTGTCTGGTTATACTTCCATAATACTCTATAAGACAGCATTGTTGGGAAAAAAAGACCAGTTTTATGCAACCTATGGTTTTTTATTACTAATATACAAGTATATGAAAATATCAGTTACCACTATTTAGCCTATTTGCTTCCTACTCTCAATACTTTAAATAGGAAAGAAAGCAAGGCAGACATTGCATTCTACCACTTCAGTGAAGGCTGACATTTCAATGTTTCACCTACAAAGAAGTCAATAGTAAAAGTCACAACTATCAAAGAAGGAAAACAATGATCCCTTAAGTACCTCCTTGTTCCTGACTTTCTCCCATAAAGAAAAAGTGAATGTGAGCTCTAAAAGAGCTAGTTTTTTCTTTTCATAAACGTTTTTGCTTCTTTTAGAAGCTCTTCCATGTCCTCCTTTTCTTCATCTTCTTTTCCTGGTTCCCAGTCAGAATCTTCATCTGTTGGCTCATTTTCCTCCTCATCTAGAAAGCTGTCATTCAGGTCACACTCACTGGGTTGCCCAACACCATCGTCTTCATCAAAAACTCTTCTTACTGAAAGGCAAAATATTGATACACACCACATCAATCGCAACTCAACCTGGGATCAGAGATGTTTGACTGTAAAGTGTCTTTTTGCATCAAGAAGAACTTTATTAATACATAGCTAACCATTTCACATTTCTAGAAAGGCACTAATATGACCACTTGTTATTTATTATTCTAAGTTTTCCTACCATGAGGCTCCTAAGAATAAACTGGCACATTACAGTCAAAATCATGATTCCTAAATTATAATCATAGCTATGGTACCCTACCACCCCTATGGTAGAATGTAATTTGTCCCAGTTATTCTTTGACCTTTTCTGATTTGATTATAATTCCCCTCTCTCACTCACTTGGCCAAAGAAATGAATAGAAGTAGTGTGTGCCACTTCCAAGTCGAAACTTGAAAACAAAATTTTAGGCGGGGGTGGGGGTGGGGGTGCAGTACTGGGTATCGAACTCAAGGCCTCATGTTTGCTAAGCAAGCACTCTAACACTTCAGTCACACCTCTAGTCCTTTTGCTTTTAGTTTGTTTTTGAGAGAGGGTCTTGTACTACCTTTGCAAGGGCTAGGAGATCCTCTTACCTCTACCTCCTGGGTAGTTGGAATTATAGGTATACACTAACATGCCTGCTAGAAACAAAACATTTAAGAAACAACTAGGAAGATTTTATCTGGAAATCATCTCAGTGACAGAGGACAATCCATGGTGAACAGCAGATGTACTGGTAAAAAATATTGAAGTCTGCTGGACAACTCAAAAAAGTGTTACCATGACTGAATTCTCTTCATATTGTTCCAACTCTTGTTACCCTTAATCTGAAATACTGGATCCTAAATTGTTGTAGGAGAAAGTTTGTTAAGTCTCACAAACTTATATGGACCTAGCATTTGTTTTCTGTCTATTCCTGTACCTTAAACAGCTACTAAAATGTAGATTCTATGTACCTCAACATAATAAAGGCTACATATGACAAGCCTACACCCAACATCATACTAAGTGGGGAAAAACTGAAAACATTCCCTTTAAAGTCAGGAACCATACAAGGGTGTCCACTCTCTCCATTCTTATTCAACAGTCTTGGAATTTCTAGCCAGAGCAATAAGACAGGAAGAATAAAAGGAATACAAATTGGAAAGGAAGTAGCCAAACTATCCCTATATAGGACAACATGTTATACCCAAAAGATCAGAAAAACTCCACCAAAAAACTCCTAGACACCATAAACACCTTAAGTAAAGTTGTGGGATGCAAAATTAATCTAAAAAAATCAGTAGTGTTTCTACACACAACAGATTGAGAAAGAATATAGGAAAATATTTCCATCACGATGGCCTCAAAAAAATTAAAATACCTAGTAATAAACTTAACAAAGGATGTAAAAGAGCTCTACAAGGAAACTATAAGAAAAAAATGAAAGAAGACTATAGAAGATGGAAAGATCTCCCATGCTCATGGATTGATAAAATCAGCATAGTGAAAATAGCTATATTACCAAAAGCAATCTACATGTTCAATGCAATCCCCATCAAAATTACAATGACATTCATCACAGAGATTGAAAAATCAATCCTAAAAGGTCATTTGAAGGCATAAAAGATTACGTATAGCCAAAGCAATACTGAGCAAAAAAGAGCAACGCTGGAGGTATCACAATAAACGACTTCAAACTATACTACAGAGCCATAGCAATGAAACAGCATGGTACTAGCACAAAAACAGACATGAAGACCAGTGGAACAGAATAGAAGACCCAGATATGAACCCATGTAGCTATGCCCACTTGATTTTTGACAAAGGTGCCAAAACATACGATGGAGAAATGACAGCCTCTTCAATAAATGTTGCTGGGAAAACTGGGTATCTGCAAGCAGAAAACTGAAACTAGATCCTTATCTGTCACCCTGTACAAGTATCAAAGTTGATTAAGAACCTTAATATAAATAAGACCTGACACTTTGAAGCTAGCGCAGGAAAGAGCAGAGCATACACTGGAATTAATAGGCATAGGCAATGACTTCCTCAATAAAACTTAAATGGCTCAGCAACTAAGAGAAAGGATTGACAAATGAGACTGCATGAAATTAAAAAGCTTCTGCACAACAAAAGAAATGGTCACCAGATTGAAGAGTCAGACTACAAAATGGGAGAAAATCTTTGCCAGCTATACATCTGACAAGGGATTAGTAACCAGAACATATAGGGAGCTCAAAAAACTAAACTCCCCAAAAAATCAATTACCCAATGAAGAAATGGGCAAAAGAACTGAACAGAGCTTTCTCAAAGGAAGAAGTCCAAATGGCTAAAAAACACAAGAAGAAATCCTCAGCATCCCTGACCATAAAGGAAATGCAAATCAAAACCATGTTAAGATTCTACCTCTTTCCTATTAGAATGGCTACCATCAAGACTAGAAACAACAGATGTTGGCAAGGATGTGGAGAAAAAGAAACCCTCATACACTGCTGGTGAGAATGTAAATTAGTACAACCACTATGGAAAACAGTATGAAGGCTCCTCAAAAAACTAAAAATAGAACTGCTGTATGATCCAGCAATTCCACTTTTAGGGATATATCCAAAGGAATGTGAGTCGGATTACAATAAAGGCATCTGCACACCCATGTTTACTGCAGCACTAATTCACAATAGCTAAGCTTTGGAAGCAGCTAAGATGCCCCACTACAGATGAATAGAAATGGACTAGGAGTAAAGAGGGCTGGAAAAGATGAACAGTTGGGGTTGTAATACATATATGAATGGAAATAACACAAGGAAACTCCCTGTGTAGCGATCTTTATCTCAAACTAGCAAAAACATCATGTTTCTCTTTTTATCTTTTATGTTTTTTTCTTCTACAAAAATAGAACAGGAGGGTGGAACAGGTTCAGGGGGAGGGGGCTGCCACTTGTGGGAGGGGAAATGTTGTGGGGAAAGGGGTAGGAGGATAAATACAGTGCAAATAATGTATACACATGTATATAAATGCAAAACTGATATGTGTTCAAATTGTTCCTGGAATCACCGGGAGTGGGGATGAAGTGAGGGGGAGTGGGGATGAAGAAGAGCAGTGGAGGGGGTGAATTAAAGTATGATATATTTGATACATTGTAAGAACCTTTGTAAATGCTACAATGTATCCCCACCCAGCACAACACAAAAAAGAAAGAAAGAAAGAAAATGTGGTATTTATACATGATGGGATTTTATTCAGATATAAAGTAGAATGAAATTTTGTCACTTGCAGGTAAATGGGTGGAACTGGAGGACATCATCTTAAGTGAGGTTAGCTAGGTTCAGAAAGCCAAAGACTGCATTGTTAGGTCGACGCTGATGGGAAGGCCAAATTGGAGCCAAATAATAAAGCAAGCAGGCTTTAAGCAGGCTTTATTGAGAGCACGCTCTCGGGCGAGGTTCACTGTCCCCAAAGAGCAGGGCCGGGGCGGAGAAGTCGCGCCGGAGAAATGGCAGCCCAGTTTTTATATCCTGGGTGAAGTCAAGAGCTTAAGGTATTATGCAGCATCGGGATAGGTCGAGGTTTGGTGGGGAGGAGCTCGGGGTAACATGGGTCAGGACCCATTGCCTGCCAAAAGGAGTTGCCATGGTAATCATGAAGGGAAGGAGGGGACAAGTGGAAAGTGAGCAGAGAGTCCCTGATCACCATGGAGTGGCTGCCCACCGGCCAAACATGCATGTTTTCTCTCATATGTGGAATATAAACAATATTATGAAAAACAGACTATGCTAAGGAGAGGTCACTAATGAGAGAGGGAGGGTAAATGAAGGCAGTTAAGAAGGTGAATATGGTTGATGTACTTTCTATACAGGAACAAATATAGAATTTGTAAGCCCATTGAGATAACTGTAAGAAGGGGACTAAGGTAGAAAGGAGAAAAATAGAGGAGATGAACCAATTTAGGTTATAATACATGTATAACGTGGAAATTTCACAAGGAAACTTCCTTTATAGCTATCTTAAACAAAAATGTTACATATATGGTGTTTTTTTTTTAAACAAATACATAGAACAAGATGGCAGAACACGTTCTGCCTAGTGGGTTGGCTCCAGTGGGAGGGGGGAGTATATGGGGAGAGCGTGTAGAAGGGTGAATATGTTGCCAATATTGTGTACACATGAGTGTTAATAGAGAAAATGAGACCTGTTGAAACTATCCCAGGAATGGGGGGAGGATGGGTAAAGGAGAATGATGGAGGAGGTGAATTCAGCTATGACATATTATAAAAACTTTTGTAAAAGTCATAATGTACCCCTAGCACAATAATAAAAAAAATAATAAATTTGAAAATTTTTTTTCTTGTCTCCAAATCTCACTTTCACTCTCATGGTGGCCACCCTAGTTTTGGCCCCTTATTCAAGTACATACCTAATCTCCAGAAAAACCTCCCTGACTCCAATTTAGACTGCTCATCATCAACAACTTTATTTTTGGAAAATGCTGGCTCCTCATGATTTACCAAAATGCCCATATCTTTGGTCTAGCCTTTCAGAGCTCCTATAATCTGGTGTCAATATGCCTTTTCAGTAACATTTATTCAGAGAGTATAGACACTATCTGTCAGTTAAGATGATCTATTTGCTAAGTCTAAACACAACATTTATTCTTCAGTGTCCTTGATGGTCTATTATTCACTTTATCTGGGATGTCCTAAGCCCACTAAAGCCAAGAAACAAATAATGATGACTGAACTCTTACCACTAATGACCAACTTAAAGTTCCCATTAATAAAACCCAAAAAACCCCATCAAACAGTGCTCCTTTCCTTTCCTTCAAGATTTCAGAGTACTTCACCACAAGCAGGGAGAGCCAGAGCTAGTTCATGGTAATGAGCTTTTTCTCATACCTCTGTAACCTTGCTCACATGGAAGACATAACACAAGTAAGTAAATGAACTGATATATATATATATGCATGAATGTGTATATGTATACATTAACTGATATATATGGGATTATCAAAATGAAATCCAGTAGTAAACATGATTTTGGGTAATGTTAAACTTTAATGATTTGGGAGTTGATAAAAACAAGTATCTGTGTTCACTATCTCTAAATCAGGAATTATGAGAACTTAGCAATTAATTTAATATTTGACATATTCCAGACCTTCAATTTAGGTTTTAGAGGGGGAAGAGATATTCTGACTATACTAGCACATAACAACTCCTGAAAGTACATACTGTAGTCCCCCTTATCTTCAGGGGATATATTTTGAGGCCCCAGAGAATGCCTGAAACCACAGTTAGTAGTGACCCCTATTTACACTATGATTTTTCCTATATATACATATCTATAATAAAGTTTATAGTTAGGCACAATAATCAATTAACAATGACAGTAAACTAGAATAAACAAAACAATATACTACAATAGAAGTTATATATGTATTCATTGTGAAATATAGAGTATAGTGAGAGAACTTATAAATTCTTTATTTGTGAGCTTTTCTATTTGATATTTTCAGACCAATGTTGACTGCAGGTAACTACAACAATGGAAAGCAAAAATGTGGAAAGTTTGGGTAAATTTACTAGTAAGGACTAGTAAAGGGGGACTGTATATAAAGCTAAAAACTATTGCTTAAAGTATGTATACTTTTCGTTGTTAAGAAAAACTGACTTTAGAGTGAAATAAAAAGATTTTTGTTATTTGTTAATTGTTCTAGTATATATACTTCATTCAGAAAATACTTCAATGATAATTCCAAGAAAAATTTCAAAGAAAATTCAAGTGTTTTAAATTATGTTATATGATGTATATTGATAGCTTTTAAGTAAATAGTTCCTATTTTCTATAAATAGTTTTACAAATATCCTTTATTGGACAATGCCATAATTTGTCAATACAACTTAGTTTTAATCAAATATTATTTCATCATTATTAGAAACTACTTGAACTGCCACAAAGGCTACATCATTAGATACAGTCCAGTAAAGAAAGTCTACCATATAACAAAACTTCCAGACTCTGTTAGTTGAGATAAAGGGAACATGTTTATATAAGAGTATTAAAGCAAAAAGTTGTGTTACAGTAAGAAATATCAAATGGCATTTTCTCATTATGATATTATTTTCATCACGTTGTCAGAAATTGGTTTTATGTACATATGTACAAGTGCAAGTGAGCACAGCCTAGTTAGTATACATTTTACTCTTTCATTTGTGGGCAGAGATATGGTTTGCTGAATTGGGTTCTGCATTATATAAGTGATACAAAGAAACCAGAAATTGTTGAATGGAAAAGTATTAGAGTTCAGAAACAGGAGAAACAGAAGGTAAAATGGACTGATGTAAATAGATGGACATTTGATGCCCTTACCTAAAGCCTTAGTTTCTATTAGAGATTCGTATGGCTTTGAAGGTGACTCTAACCTGGTTCAAACTAATCAGTAGCCTTAGAGATTGGTTCAAGGGTAAGATTGTGAGCTAAGTCACAATTTCACAGGAGTGAAGTTCATTATTTTTTCTACGAATCCAGAGAGTCAAAGGTTTCTGAGTTTCCTGAAATAAAATTACATACCAGGAAGTGCACTATGTCTATATTCTATCTTGTGCTGGGGATTCTTCCTGAAAAAGAAAAAGAAGTTTTCCAGTTACTAGAAATTATTAAGATACTTAAAATAAACTAGAACACTAAGTAACTTAAAATAAAAGTAGTCCCTAACAAGTCTCTTACTAAATAGTATTTGCCGTTTAATTACAGTATTCACTGAATGCCAGTTCCATGCCAGGTACATTGCTAGATACAAAGATAAAGTAGTGAGCAGGATAAAGTTCATACCTTAAGAACTTACACTCCAGAAAGACAAGATGAGACAAAACACAATTTATCATGTTTGTAAGATATAGTATATTTTTAAAATGTCAGCTCATATAAATAAAAATAAGTCGAAATAATGAAAACTATAACACAAATATCCAGTATGTGTATAAACATCTACATATCTATGTAACATACACACATACACACACACACACATACATACTGTCCAGAAAGATACTTCTAAAGCTTTTGTTGAATCCAGAGGAAAGAAACATTCAACAAATACCTCTCCAAAAAACACCAGTAATTTGTCAGGAGAAAACAAGAAAGTCAATTATATAGAGAAATTCAAATAACATATTCTGTAGTCAAACAGAAACTACTATTTGAACATCTATTTTTCATAAGATGCACTCATGATCATCACTTATATTACTTAAACAAATGTTACGGCGTAACACACACACACACACACACACATACACACACAAATTCTCCAGATAATGTGAAACTGTGCTGGTAGCAAAAATCCAAACAGTTGGCTAATGATGATCCACTTGATTAGCACCCCTTTCTTAAGGGACCAACAAAGGACTGGGGTATGCTACCCATAGATATGTGCTAAGCTGTACAGCTTTTTAATATGCTTGATTATTTTTACATGATGAAGTTTTATTCATTCATTCATTCAGAAAGTATTGCTGAATGTTTCACTATATTCTGGCTCTAAGCTGGCAATGAAGCTAAAATGTTTGACAAGATACACATTCTTGCCCTTAAGGGGACAGTCTAGAGCAGAGGCAAGGTAGACATTAAAGAATAATTTTCTTTTTTTTTTTTTTTTTTTTGGTGGTACTGGGGTTTGAACTCAAGGAGTAATTTTCTTATTTGAAAAACAAGAACAACTTTCTGTGAGGATGGGAAATAATACCCCCTTATGACATCTTTTAGGAAACAAGTACTAAGTCAAGCTTTAGGCCTTCTCCTTCACAGACTAAATATCCCTTGTTCTTCATTGCTTTTCTTTGAAATGAGGCAATTATGCAACTTTTAAAAAATTATATGATTTATATATAATATAAAAATCCATATAATATATGTATCTAAATTCTTCTGCAAGTTCTCACATTCAACTTTACGTTTCTACTTCCATCCCAATGGATAAAAGTGGCAACAGACTCAGGAAGCAGATCTCTAACCTTGGCCCTAGTTTATGAATCATCAGATGCAAACGGCAGGGAAATGACTTTCGAGTGGTCAGTGCAGTTCCTGGAACCTAAGGACATAAAGTTCTTGCTCAGGGTCTACATTTTCCAAGTCAGCTAATAACCATATTAAGACAGAGATCTGGGCAAATTAAGGAACTGTATTTTAAAAAGTTCTGTAGTAATCAGATGAATAAATCTTTCATTTAAAAATTCCTTTTCATGAGATTAGTATGAAAAAATATGATTGCTCTTCTTTTATAATTAAAAAAGGCACACTTTGTATATAAATTTTTTTAATAAAAATATTTAAAAAGTATTGTATTTGTCTCTTCTGTACATTTGACACTACTAAAATACTGATGAACAAAGTAAAAATAATTTCTAATCATACAGAACCATTTGCTTTACAAATACTTGTCTTCTTGTCTCCAGCAGCACCTATCATTTTACATTTGCTCCATATATTTTCTTTACCTCCGTCATACTTTATTGGGCAATAGGAAGTAATTATAAAAACATAACTTGAAATTAGTTGATAAAAATCCAGAAAAATAGTGTTATCACTTGAAAGCTGTTGTAATCATGGAACCTGTTTTCCATGACAGGCTTTAACTGATGCCACTTGGAAGAGTTGAAGCTGAAAACCCTAGAATCATTTTAACATTCTCCAGTAGAATTTCTCTGGTGACAAAAATTTTCTTTATCTGTGCTGTTAGACAATGACTACATGTGGCCACTGACCATTTGAAATGGTAAGTGAGCCAAGGAACTGAATTTTAAATTTTATTTTTGGCTAGTTTACAGTTCAATTATAAACAATCACATGCAGATAGTGTGTTTATTATACCATCAACCCAGGTTTAACTCAAAAAACATGAAAAGGAAGATCCTCCCTGTCCAACCAAGAGTAATTTAAAATTAATCCAAAAAACCCCCACTAAACATTTTTTATGTACAGACTGACCCTCAAAACACTCAAAAATTCTATAGATAGAAATGCTATTGTTGAAAATGAGAAAGATCCAATTATAATCTTGGTTCAGCCACCTCCTTATAGGCTGCCTAAGTTCAGTTTCCCAGTTTGTAAAAGGGGGTAACTATAGAACCCCTACTCACATGAAGCTGTTGTGAGACTGCAAGAGTTAACACACAGTACGTCCTTAGCCTGAGTGCTTGTGGGTGGTAAGTAATTAATGTTAACCACTGGCTCATTGATTAATTCAAGAAATAGTCACAGAGTATTTATTATATGTCAAACACTGTGTAATATGTCAGTGACACCTAGATACTATTACTAATATCTTTTATTTTTTTGGTAACTTTTCCTACCATGTGAGCATTAAACAGAACAAGAATGCAACTGCACAGTTAATTGGGGTCATACCTCAACAGTTTTGAGTGGAAGAAAGATTCTACACGAGATTGTGTGGTTGGAGTAATTAACCCAGATCTGACCTTTTGATGGAAAGGAAATTTCAACTGAGAAAAATAAACTGGATAACTTAGATGTGATGAAGAGAACTGCAAATGAACACAGCTGGAGTGATGATTTGAAGATCTTTCCCTACTGAGCACACTAGTGTAAGCCACTGACTTGTTAAATTCAGCCCTTGTCATACAATTAATACTGGGTATCAGGGAAGAAGGAACAGGAAAGTGAGGACATTAATACCACAGATACTCATTATCTTTAATCTAGAAAAAAGATTACTGGTCATTTGAGACTTTTTTTTTGATGTTATAGTTTGGATATGTCCCTCTAAAAGACTCATATGTTTGGGGCTTGGTCCCCAGCTGGTGGCACTAGTTTTGGAAGTTCTGGAAACTATAGTAAGTGGGGCTTAGCTGCAGGAAATAGGTCACTGGGAGGTTCCTAGGGTATCTTGTCCCTAGCCCCTTTCTCCCTCTCTCTTTCTGCTTCCAAAATACATCTTTCTTCCCTTAAGTTGTTTATGGTATTTTGGTCACAGTGAAGAGAAAACTAATATATTTGGTAATTTTTTATTTTGAAAAAAATTTCAAACTTACTAAAATGTAGGCAAGAATAGACCATTGAAGTTCCATATATCTTCATCAAGATCCTTCACGTGTTAATACATTCAACATGGATGCATTATTTATTATTATTATTAACAGACTCCTTCCTTTGAATACATTTTTTCTTTATTCATTTATTCATATGTGCATACATTGTTTGGGCCACCTCTATCCACTGCCCCCCACCTCCTCCCTCTCCCTTCCACACACCCCTCACTTCCAGGCAGAACCTGTTCTTCCCTTTTCTCCAATTTTGTTGAAGAATAGACATAAGCAATAATAAGAAAGACATAGCATTTTTGCTAGTTGACATAAGGATAGCTACACAGAGAGATTCCAAACATTGCTTCCATGCACAAGTGCATTACAACCTGAAATTATTCACCTCTACCAGACCTCTTCACTATTTCCTGGTCACCTGCCCATATTGAAATACATTTACTTCAGGTGTCAAGCACTCCTTACCATTTCCCAATTTGTCCTGAACAGTTGAGCCGGATTTACTCAGTTAAATATTGTCTCAATTGTTTGCTACAGCCTCCTTCAAAAGCTGCTTTAGAAACTCTCAAGTCACTAAATGTCGGGCTTTAAAAAACAGTAAGGAAACGGAACAAATGAGTTTACACTGAGACTCAAGTATAGTTCATGAACCAACATGAACTTCTTCTTGTTAAGTTATCTTAACAGAAGTTAAGATAACTGACATCTGTTGGCATTTATTTTGAGTCAGGTAGTATGGTACCTCCAGATTTGTTCATTTTGCTCAAAATTGCTTTGACTATTTGGGGTCTTTTATGGTTCCATGCAAATTTTAGAATTGTTTTTCTATTTCTGTGAAGAATATCATTGGAATTTTGATAGTGGTTACAATGAATTAGCAGATCACTCTGGGTAGTATGAACATTTTAACAATAGTAAATCTTCTAATTCATAAGTACCAGATACCTTTTTCACTTACTTGTGACTTTTTCATTTTTCCCATCATTGTTATATAGTTTTCAGTGTTTACATCCTTGGTCAAGTTTCATCTCCTTAGTCAAATTTATTCCTATGTGTTTCATTTTTGGTAGCTATTATAAATGGGGTTGTTTTCCTGATTTTCTTTTGGATAGTTTACTGTTATATATGATACTGACTTTTTGTTGATTTTATATCCTCCAACTTTACTGAATTAATTTATTTGTGAACAAATATTTGATGTTGTCTTTAGGATTTTCTCTACATAGAAAAGAATGTCATCTGTTGCATTTTTCTATTAAATAGGAAAAAAGATACCTACTTTTGCTATCTTCACTACTACTTAAGAAAACTGATAGTTTAAAAAAGAATCATTTGCAGTACAAACAAGTTTTAAATTCTCATTGCTTGGTGCACAAAACTGTTTCTAATAATTTCTAGAATGAAAATGAACTTTCTTTAGTTAAATTTAATCTATGATTCCTGATGTTTCTCAGAGACCAGTAGTCCTTTGAAAAGCATTTTTCTGTTGGCTATATCCCACTCTTGTTAGGTTAAAAAGACTGTCAACGTGCTGAAATTGTTTTGTGCTCACAAAGTTA